GGGGCTGGGCCTGACCTGGCCGTCCTGTTGTAGAGGCACAGGAGGTGCCCCCGGAAAGGTCCCCGCACGGGACACCAGCCCGCCCCGTTGCCTGGGCTCGCTGGGAAGCCCACCCCTGGCTCCTTGTCTGTTTCCTCAACTTGCTGGCACCTGCCCAGCACTGTGAGCGCACCCTGGCTCATGCGCTCACTCATAGAAACGAAATCTCACCTCAAACAAACAAACAAACCCTCTTCTGCCAATGACACAATCGGACAATGACTCACAAGGTGCTGGGGAGCAAGTGCTAGTGCACGGCTCACGCCTGGCGCTGCGGGCTGACCGGCTCCGGCACAGCCTCCACTGCTCTCCCGGCTCCCCTGCGCCACCCGAGCTGCTGGCGAGGGGAGGCCCGGGCGGGTGGAGGGCAGGCAGGGTGCAGGGCAGCTCAGTGCGGGCGGGCAGGCGGGCGGTCCTTTCCCCGGCTGGAACCTGGCTCAGTGGTAGGTGCCGGAGCACGTCCTTTCTCTCGCCCCAGTGACGCTCGGTGCCGCCCATGGAGTTGCAGCGTCACTCCATCTCCATCTGGGGCAGATGCCAGGCCACGTGCTGGGTGTCAGCCAGGAGCATCCTGGCCGCCCAGGCCCCTCCTGCGATCCCCACCCACCCCTGCAGCCGCCTCACCTTCCGAGGAAGGCGGGGGCTTCTCCGGCTTTTCTTCCTTCTTTTTAATTGACTACGTTGAACAGACTGTTTTAGAGCAGTTTTAGGGTTACAGAATATTGTTCAGGAAGTGGCAGGTGCTGGCACACAGTTCCCAACGACTAAGCCATTGCTTTAGCGCTACGTGGAGCCGATAGTGATCTGTCACAATTGATGAGCCGGTAGTGACTTGTTACAACTGATGAGCCGGTAGTGATCTGCTGCAATTGATGAGGTGACAGGCAGTGGTGGGATCAGAGGCCTGTCTCCCAGGGAAGCTGACAGAACTCCGTGCTAGGATTCGTCACATTGAGTGTCACCGCTGTGTTTCCTTCCAGTCGCTGCCGTCCGGACACATGCAGGGAACGTTTGAACAGGCCAATAAAGAAGAAAACAGAGACAAGAACAGATACCCCAACATCCTTCCCAGTAAGATTTCACTGTTTTTGCATGGTCGGTGGCGTTCTGACTAAACTCCGAATCCCCTGCAGCTCGCGGTGACGGTGCGTGTCACTCTGGGTGATGGTGACGATCCCGGTGCTGGGAGATCAGAGCCCGTGACAGCGCAGCTGCTGGGGGCTCGCACCTGGCCTCCGGGCACCGGGCCTCCGGGCACCTGTGCGTGTGCCGCCCGGGCACAGGCAGCCTGCGTGGGCGAGGGTCTGGCCGCGGAGCCTGCGCTGAGTGAGACCCGGGCTGTCCAGGGGCCTAGAGGGGGCCGCCTGCACTGGCGGGCAGGGCCCCTCCTGCTGGATCAGATCCGGAGCCCCAGCCACGGTGGTGGGTGGCCTGTGCACCTTCCGCTATTGCACTCAGCTCTGGGCCACCAGCAGCAAGTCCCCTGGACCAAGGGCCAAAAGGACCATCGAGAAACACGTAGGGCTCTGGCAGTGTGGTGGGAAGGCTCCCTGTAAACCCGGTTTTAACCCGACAGCTAGGGACCTCCACCGGCTAGAGAGTGTGGGCTCCAGGAGGTGCAGGGCAGTGGGGGGTAACACATCTGTCCAGAGGCATCAATGGCTGGGCCATGCCCCTGGGTGACCTTCACAGCCAGCCTCGCTGCAAGACAAGCCCCCACAGTCACCCCTCCGCACACATACCCCACATACTCACTCCACTCACGCAGAACACTCCTGGTCAGCCCCTCTGGACACTGCTTGCACCATAGGCCGGAAACTTCCAGGCAGGTGGCCCGTCCAGCCCAGGTCTGTGCGGGTCCTGCTTACCTTCCTCTCTGCGGCAGACCTGAAGGATGAGATTGGGGCCTGTGGTTCCAAACCCCAGATCCAAATGCCCACTTGTCCAGAGATGCAGTAGGCCTCTCCTCGGAAAGCCTGGTAGGGTCACCCCAGAAGTTCTCCTAAGTACACCTACATGTGCCAATACTGGGGCCCAGAGAGCACAGCTGTCACATGGTCGGGTCCGCACATTCTGCCGTCCTGTTTCTGTGTGGTGGGCAGGCCCACGCTGGCCACTGAGGTTCTTTCCCACGTCTCTCCCTCTGTGGTCACCATGGGGGCCCGGGTCTGTCCTTCGCAGAGTCTGATACTGTAGCTGGGAGGACTCTGCAGGGTCTGAGACTGTAGCTGGGAGGACTCTGTGGGGTCTGAGACTGTAGCTGGGAGGACTCCGTAGGGCCTGAGACTGTAGCTGGGAGGACTCTCAGAGTCTGATACTGTAGCTGGGAGGACTCTGCCGGGTCTGGGAGGACTCTGCTGGGTCTGAGACTGTAGCTGGGAGGACTCTGCTGGGTCTGAGACTGTAGCTGGGAGGACTCTGCTGGGTCTGAGACTGTAGCTGGGAGGACTCTGCTGGGTCTGAGACTGTAGCTGGGAGGACTCTGCTGGGTCTGAGACTGTAGCTGGGAGGACTCTGCTGGGTCTGAGACTGTAGCTGGGAGGACTCTGCTGGGTCTGAGACTGTAGCTGGGAGGACTCTGCTGGGTCTGAGACTGTAGCTGGGAGGACTCTGCTGGGTCTGAGACTGTAGCTGGGAGGACTCTGCTGGGTCTGAGACTGTAGCTGGGAGGACTCTGCTGGGTCTGAGACTGTAGCTGGGAGGACTCTGCTGGGTCTGAGACTGTAGCTGGGAGGACTCTGCTGGGTCTGAGACTGTAGCTGGGAGGACTCTGCTGGGTCTGAGACTGTAGCTGGGAGGACTCTGCTGGGTCTGAGACTGTAGCTGGGAGGACTCTGCTGGGTCTGAGACTGTAGCTGGGAGGACTCTGCGGCGTCTGAGACTGTAGCTGGGAGGACTCTGCTGGGTCTGATACTGTAGCTGGCAGATGTGATTTCCTTCTCCTGATATCATGTGTTTTTTTAAAACAGATGATCATTCCCGGGTGATTTTGAGCCAGGTGGATGGAACGCCCTGTTCGGACTACATTAATGCTTCATACATAGATGTAAGTCCTGCAGGTCCCTGTCCCTGGCCCAGCATGACCACCCGGGGCTCTGAGTCACCTGTGGGTGCTTTCTTCTGGGTCTGGGAACATAAACTGTCACAACTTCCGGGCAGTGTGGCCACAGCACAGAGAGCATGGGAGCATCCACACCTTTTGAATTAGTATCTGTGCTTCATTTTCAAGAAAAATAGGTCCTGGCCTGGCCGGTGTGGCTCAGTGGTTAGAGTGTTGGCTGCAGACCAAAGGGTCCCAGGTTTGATTCCGGTCAAGGGCATGTACCTTGGTTGCAGGCTCCTGTCTGGCCTGGCGCCTGGTCAGGGTTCGTGCAGGAGGCAACCAATTGATGTGTTTCTCTCACATCGACGTTTCTGTCTTTCCCACTCTTCCACTCTCTCTAAAAATCAATGGAAAAATATCCTTGGGTGAGGATTAACAAACAAAAAAAAGAATGAAAAAGAAACATAGATACCAAGGGTGTTCATTAAGGCTTTGTTTATATAACTGATAAAATAGAGCAGGAGGGACTGGTTAAATAAATGATGGTAAAGCCACACACAATGGATTATTATGAATCTATTTTAATTGAACCTTAAAAGATCACTTAATATAAGTTATAAAATTGTCATAAGAATACAATATAAGAGAATTTATATGCATAAACCAATTAAATATATATATCTATATATATATCTGTGTCTACCCATGTGTGTGTCTTGAAAGGTATTCCCAGAAAATAAAGACTTAGAGAGGGACATACAAAGATAATTTGGAGACATTATAAATCTGATTTTATGTTTCTAGGGTTACAAGGAGAAGAATAAATTCATAGCAGCTCAAGGTAAGCTTGTTATTGTTACCCTCTCATCACACACACACTCACACTCACACTCACACACCACATCCGGGTGCGATATTGAAACTAAAACACTGAGTGGCCACAAACCACTTGGACCCGTAGCTGCAGACCAGCTCTCACTTTGATAGGTGACTGCCTGTGACTGTCACCTGCCCGGGTCCAGGGATTCCGCCCCCTGAGGAGTTCCCAGCTCCAGAGGGGAGCGGGAGTCTGGCGGGATGGAATGGGCAGGCGGGGACCTGCTGGCCCCTCCCAGCCCCACGGGTTCTGGAATTCTGTAGGGTGTGAACTGGATCCACCAGCCCTTTTGTGCCTCAGAGAATCGGGGGAGCAGCTGTCCAGGGCCCAGGCAGTGCCTGGGGCTGGGGCTCACTGGACCTCTGTCTTGCCTGACTTTGGGATCCTCCTCCACGCGCAGGCCCTAAGCAGGAAACAGTGAATGACTTCTGGAGGATGATCTGGGAGCAGAAGTCTGCGACCATCGTCATGTTGACGAACCTGAAAGAAAGGAAAGAGGTGAGCCCGGCCTCTGAAAAGGAATACTTTCTTTTTGCTGCTGTTGGCAGGGGTGGGGCCGGGGCAGGGGTGGGGAGTGGGAGGGTGGTGGTACCACTTCCTCTTCCTGCTTCTCTCCCTTCTCACTGCAGAAGGAAATTTAAAAAGCGCCCCCTGGCTCACAGCATCTTTATCTTGAAATAAATACTGTCTGTTCCCAGTAGCTGTGGATGTAGGAAATGTCCAACCCTGGAGAGAATTCCTGTGAGCGCATCTGACCCAAACTGATGCCCGTTGCCAGGAAGCGAAAGCTCCATGGACTGAGGAATGCCCCTGAGAAGGGCAGCTCCGCAGTTTGTCTCATACATTAGTCAAAGGAGGGGCTGAAGGAGGGCCCGTGAACTCCACTGGTGGTAGATTAAGGGCGAGGGAGACCTCTGGGGTTAAATAAGATGGAGAGGCACACACGTCTTTCACATTGTGGGTATAGGATAGTTAGGAGCCTGGCCAGCATGGCTCAGTGGTTGAGCATTGACCTATGAACCAGGAGGTCACGGTTAGATTGCCGGTCAGGACACAGGCCCGGGTTGTGGGCTAGATCCCCAGTGGGGGATGTGCAGGAGGCAGCTGATTGATGATTCTCATCATGGATGTTTCAATATCTCCCTCTCCCTTTGTCTCTCTGAAGTAATAATAATGATAATAATAATAATGATAATGATAATAAACATTTACAGCACATAGAGATGGTATCCAGGGGACCAGGTACCAATGAGGGGCTCTGTGGCCTCTGCTCTGGTGGGAGGTTGTGCTCTGGGGGGCCTGGGAAAGGGATCACTCGACCTTCCAAAGGTTTGTTATATTAGATGCAAAAAGACAATAGCCAGGCTCAGGTCAGGGTCAGCACTGACTGTTGTCCAGGAAGCTACCTGCCTGGGACGTGACTGGCCACCATGGCCTGCGTGCCGTTGGGAATTTTATGTTGGTCCTGCCTGGTCACTTTCCGAGTCTGTGGGGTCCTGCAGGCTGGCCTCCCTGAGCCGGCGGGGTTAGTCTGGCCCGTTCCTCCACGTAGCTCGCTGTCCTAGACGACGGTGCTAGATGGAAGGGTTTTCTTTTTTCCGCCAGAGTCCTCCCCGGCTGGCAGGGCAGCTCTCACTCCCTGATGAGGCAGTGGGTTTCAGCATTTTGATTTTTATATGTTGAGCATGTCATGTGTGGGCCTCACACTAAAGCAAAAGTGACCTCCTGCTTATTACCCAGACTAGAGAAACGCATTTGAAGATCAAGATATGTATTTGTTGTTGTTGTTAATCCTCACCCAGGGATATTTTTCCATTGATTTTTAGAGAGAGATTGGAAGGGAGAGGGAGAGACAGAGAGAAACATCGATGTGAGCCAAACTGGCGAGGGCAAGACATAGTGAATGAATGCTGTTACCATTCTAACACACGTAATTAGCTGTTTCTAATTCAAAAAGTAACGTGCATTGTAAGAACTCAACGTCTCTTTAAAGACTTAAGTGAAATGAGCCCTAGCCAGTGTGGCCCAGTGGTGAGAGCACCTGTCTGCAGACTGAAGAGCCCCGGGTTCAGTTCTGGTCAAGGGCACGGACCTGGCTTGGAGGCTCAGTCCCTGCCCTGCTTGGGAGTTTGTGGGAAGCAGCCAATCGATGTGTCTCTCTCACATGGATGTTTCTCTCTGTGTCTCTCCCTCTCCCTTCCACTCTCTCTAAATAGCAATGGAAAAATATCCTCAGGTGAGGATTAACCCAAAAAAATAATAATAATGATGACAATTCATTTAAACAGGTTCCTTCCTTACGTGTGGCAAATGCCAGCTCATGCCTCCCGGACAGTGCAGGGTCATGTGCAGTGACCCGGCTGCAGATCGGCCCCCTGCAGCCTATTCCCCCGGGAGGGCTGGCACCAAACAGAAAGCAACAAATGGAGCCGGTCAGGAGGTGGCATAAAGCATAATGGGGCGTGAAGGGGACGGTGGTGCCCGAGGGCCTGGCCAGGCCGGGCCTGTACTTCCCACATACAGAAATGCAGGTGCAGAAATGCAGGCCAGCTTCACGCTCCCAGCCTTCTCTGTAGCCGACCCTGTGGGGAAGCCAGCTGATTAGTTCCTGGCAGAAAACGGGGGGGTGGTGTGAAGTGGAACAGCCCTGGGGGCGAGGCCAGGACACCAGCACAGCTCACCTGGGGGTGGTGCTGGTGCTGGAGGGAATTTTACCAACTCCAGCCAGGGAAGCAGCCACAGCAGGCAGCATGCTTGGGAAACCAGGAGCCTCATCCCGCCCCCTCCCCCCGCCCCCCCAGTGGCCTCGCCCGGGCAGGGTGGCTAGAAACGCATCCAGGAGCCGGGCTGGGGGCGCAAGGGCCGGCTGGCGGCCTGGGGGGTGTGTGTTAGGTTTAGGGGGGAGGGCTGCCCTTTCAGATGGCACTCAGCTGGCGCTGGGGGCAGGGGGGCCAGGGACAGGCAGGGCTGGCCCAGAGTCATTGCTGCCCGGGGCCCTGTCTCTGATCCACAGGAGATAGCCTCCAGCCACGGTTCTGGTTGGGGTGGGGGTGGGGGTTTAGGAGTGGGGACAGGGCTGGGCAGGGCCACCTTTCTCTGTGTGAGTCCTGGGGTGACTGCAGGAGGCTGGGACACCCAGGGACACTTAGCTGCCCCCCACCTTTCCCCTGCTCTGAGCAGATGCGGTGGCAGGAGCCTGGCGTCCCCTGGGACCAGCTTGCTGGGGGCGGGGCTGGTTTAGGAGCTGGGGGGGGGCGGTCCTGAGAGCCGCCCCCACCGCCCGCAGGCGGTCGTTTCCCCTCTGCGTCACCCTGAGCCTCCTGCTGGGTGTCTCCGTGTCAGTGACTCGGACCGGCCTGCCTGGGTGCCCACGTCCCGCTGCACATGAACTCATTTCTCAACCGAGTTCCCTTTTCTCGCGGCTTCCACTTCTGCGGTGGCCCTGCGTCCACACCCCGGCCCAGGGCTGTGAAACAACTGCTGCCACCTCCTGAGCCGCCCGGAGGGAGGGCCTGCATGGGGGGGGGCGGTGGTTAGGGTTAGGGGGCCCTGGGTGCGGACCTCACAGGAGCCTGGGGGCAGGCGCCGGCCAAGGGCCCAGGGACGGCCTCTCCCGGCAAGAAGCTCAGCGGGGCCCAGGGGCCCAGGAGGCTGAGCGGGGCCCAATCCAGGGCCTTGGGGGCTGGCTTCTCCCGGCCGCTTCGGGGACACCCGGGCCCGGATGTGGGAGGGACGTTGTCCCGTGGGTGTCCTAACACAGACACGGGCTCCGGTAAACACCAGGGGCCTGAGAGGTGATGAATCCTCATGCAGCCCCCGCTGGCCGCCCCCGGGCCGTTTCTGGGACAGGCTGTCCCTGCTCAGGAGGCTGCGACTCCAGAGGGGGTGCTGCCGGACCTGTGCCCCTCGTGGGTCCTGCTCGGGCCTGACCGCTGGGGGGGTACCGGTGCCCAGGCTGCCTCCTCCGGGAGCTGTGCGGGGCCTTTGTAGCTGGGAGGGGGGGGGGCGGACTGGGCCTCTTAGCCACGTGGCCAGGTCCTGGGTGGCCATCAGCCCTGTCCTCAGGGAACGGGCATGAAGTGAGCAGCCCCTCCCCTCCGCTGCAGGCCGCATTCCTCAGCCAGCGGAGCCGGGCAGGGCCCCGTGCTGCACGTGGGAACAGTTTGGGGGCACAGTCCCAGGGGTTGGGTGCGGGCCCGAGGCCTGGGGGCCCCTGTGGCAGGTCTGGGCCCTGCAGGGCGCGGGCTCAGCAAGAGGGTGAATAGATGAATGCATCTGGGCATGGGTGTCAGCAAGGACCAGTTACAGGCTCAGGGCTGCTCTGAGCAGCTGCCTGGCCTCAGTTTCCCGGTCTATAAGCAGACACTTTCCCGTGACCTTTTTAAAAATTTGTTTATTGATTTGAGAGAGAGGAAAGCAGAGAGGGGGGGGGGGAGCAGAAAGAGAGAGAGAGAGAGAGAAAAGCAGAGAAAGAGAGAGAGAGATCATTTGTTGTTCCACTTGTTTATTCATTGATTGCCTGTGTGCGCCCTGGCCCCGGATCAAACTCACAACCTCAGTTTGTCAGGACGGTGCTCCAACCCACTGAGCCGCCCAGCCAGGACCTGCCCTGCTCCCTCCCGCTGCAGGAAGCTGCCAGTCTGTTCTCCTAGGTCCCGGGGCAGGGCTGGCGGGGAGGAGAGACGCATGCCCAGGAAAGTGGTGACATGGAAGGTGCTGGCCGGGCAGCCACACCGGGAGCAGGTCAGAGGCCAGAGCTGGCGTGGCCGCTGCCAGCTCAGGGGTTTGAGGTGCTTAGACTCTGGGAACCAGTGAAGGCGCCCACAGGCCTGTGTCTTCCAATCCCTGCAGGAGAAGTGCTTTCAGTACTGGCCGGACCAGGGCTGCTGGACCTACGGACACATCCGCGTGTGCGTGGAGGACTGCGTGGTGCTGGTGGACTACACCGTCCGCAAGTTCTGCATCCAGTCGGTAAGCGGGAGGGCAGGCGGCTCTCCGCGGGAGTGTCCAGAGCACACGGGCCTGCCATTCATAACA